TTGATATGACATCTTTTTATAATATAATATTTATAGATCAATTAAGTAGCATATATATTTACAAATCAAAGTAGCATATATATATTTAGCTAACAAATTTCCTTAATTGACACCATAGACAATTACATAACTCTATTAATATATCTACAGAACCCAAATTTTATAAGCAGAAGAACATAGCATACACAACAAAATGACCAACTAAAACAATTATTTCCTTCAAGCTCACACTGCTTCTTTCCAGATGTAAAATTAGTAGTAGACTAGCAGTAATGCCTGGCATATTATAAAAGATGAACTCTTTGAATCATCACCACCATAGGAAAACTTCTCCTAAAACTTACATTTCCCCCAATATAACCAAAACCAATCAAACTCACACACACAAATGTATTCAAAAAAAAAAAAGAAAAAAAGAATACTTTGAAGAATCGCCAACCTCGGGAGGCAAAGCGGCGAGCTGCTCCATATAAGCTGGCCTCTCCTCCTTCCTCACCGGCGGCAACCTCGGGACGCTCAAAACGATATCCACAGAGAGATTCCCAAGCGTCGCCATGTCCACGTCCTTCTTAGGGTTTGGAGAGCCATGGGGATTTGGAAAGAAATGGAGGGAGGGAAAGCTGGGGTTTTGTCGCTTGTTTTGGTAAAGAAATGGAAGGAGGGTTTGGCGTCGGCGGAGGAGGAGAGTTTGGCTTCGGTGGAGGAGGCGGAGGTTTGGCGTCGGTGGAGGAGGCGGCGAAGGAGGGTTTGGCGTCGGAGGAGGAGACGGCGGAGGAGGGTCTCAGCTGGAAGAAGAGGTGACAGGGAGAGAGGGCAAGATTACCCCATGTGTTGTTCCAACAAAAGAATTGGGACAATTTTGAGGGGGGTATTGAGGAATGTATATATAGTTGGGTAATTTTAGGTGAAGTGGGGTATTTGTTCCCAAATTATCCCAACAAACCAATAACACCATAATGTTTTCACCAGTTCCAATTACACCAATGAATAACACCAAAAAATGGTGTTCCAAAAATTATCCTATTATCCTAATTTTTACACCAATGAATAACCCCCTCTAAGTTACACTCCCCATAACCCAAATTATACTATGTATGAAATACAATAAGCTTAATGGTTGTGTGTGTAAATAATGAGATACAATAAAACAAACTAAACTCAAATAAATCTAGCTTATGGAAATTAGAATCAAAACAATAAATAGCTAGAATGAGTTTAGGAAAACTTTTCTATAGATCAAAGCTTATGGAAATTAGAATCAAAACAATAAATAGCTAGAATGAGTTTAGGAAAACTTTTCTATAGATCAATAGTGAGAGAGAGATGAGTTGAATGCCCAAACTTCAATTGATGATCTCCTCAAACTCTTGTGAAATTGTTTTCACAAAATTAAATTCTCAAATGCTTAAAAGTTTTTTAAACAAACTTAAACCAACCATAAACCCTTGTTAAACACTCTCATGGTTGTTTAAAATAGTTATGATAAAGGGGTATATATAGGCTTGAAGAAAACAACTCAAAAAATTTTAAAAACCTATAAAAAAAACAGATGTTACCGTTACTGTGCAAAGGCCGACTGTTACAGTAACGGCGGTCGACCATACTGTTCACGGATAATTTCTGTTTTTGCCAGATTTTGGAATTTTACGTATCTGACTTTGTAAAATCAATTAAAAATAGTAAATCAATTCCAAAAATCATAAAATTTTGAGGGAAGGTTCTAGACATGTAGATAAACATGTTAGAGAAAGAATTTCTGAAATATCACTTCCCAGTTGAGAGAAATAAATGTTTGAACACAGATATACAGTTTCTGAAAAAACTGCTGAAAACTCGGTTTTGTAAATTCAATTAATATACAGTTTCTGAAAAAACTGCTGAAAACTCGGTTTTGTAAATTCAATTAAAAATAACAAAACAACTCTAAAATTAGTAAAACTTGGCGAAATGTTTATATATATGAGTATAAACATGTAAACGAAGAAATTTTTCAAATCGCATTTCCCAATTGTGAAAACGCATCAGTTTTGCAAAAACATGCACGAACATGTGCACAAACATGAGTTTATTAAAAACTTGATTTTGTAAATTCAAATAAATATAACAAATTAATTCCAAAATTGATAAAACTTTGAGAAACATTTATAAACATGAAATTGAACATGTTAGAAAAAAGAATTTATCAAATTGAGTTTCTCATTTGTGAAAACTCATGTATTTTGCAAGTGTGTCCAAAACATGAAAATGTGATATACATGAAATTTGATATTTTGACATAAACAATGTTTTGAAACCCTATGAAATGATTTTATAGACTTAATGAAATATGTATACAATGATTGTTAATTCCATAATCAAAACTTGTGTATATATATAACTATATATATAAAAACCAAATATGTGTGTGTATATATGATTGAGCTTAAAGTACTAACACACATAATATAAACCTAAACTAATGTTACCCAAGCAATCTTGATCTTCAATAAGCTTGACTTGATACACTTGCGGATGAAGCTTGAACTTGGATCTTGAACTTGAATTACGTAGGCTTCATACCACAATTCCGCCAACCTCCATTGGATATGATCGTAAACGCGCAATTCCATCCAACCCCCAACATGTTGTTTGTCTAAAATTGATACAAAAACACAAACACTAGACAAACAATATTAGAAGTAAATTATTTGTAAATCATCATTATAACAAGAAGGCCAACAATCATCTACAACACTGTAGCAAATTATGTAACTACCATTTTAACTAGGTATCCTCCAAGATAACTTACCCACCTTTATAGTGTCATTTTGATCCCAGACTTGTGACTTAAGAGAGAAAAGCTTAGAAGAGGGGAAGAGAATAACGGAATTGATGAAAAGTTCCTCTGCTAAGCCCCCTTATGTCTACAATAGATATGTGATGCATCATGACCAGGAGAATAGTCTGATACTTTGAAATCACGTGATGTGTTCGTCCTTGCTCACTCATCATCCTGCATAATGTCATCTTGTTTCTTGGTGAGATAGGAGCAAGAACCTAAAAGAGAGAAAAAACTGACTTGATGTGGATCTCTTCTCCTGATGTACCTTAGAGGTCTCATAAGTCTTCTCCATTTCTATATAGGTTGCCCGATTCATTCTTGACTTGCACTAAATAACTGTATAGTCAAAGCACACCACTTGTATAGTTGCATTATTTTTATGAGTCATTATATTTTATGCCTGAGGATCATAAAGGTCATAGGAATTGCACCAGATGAAACTGCCAGAACTTGCACAGGCCATCTTTTTGCTTCTGAAAGATGTTTAGCCCATGTCTTCATCTGATTTATAAAGCTAATTAGATATTTGATTTTGCAAAGGAAAATGCTGTGTGTTGGTCCAAAGTCTATCCTAATCTTGGAATTGCTAAGTGATATCCTAAGTAATACTATATCAGTTACTCCATCTTGCTTTCATTTGAACCATGATCTGCACTTGACTGTACCAGTCAGTGATGTAAAATGGATGTCATTTTTGGCATGGCAGCCATATACTGGACATTTCACCATGTACCCTTTCTGGTGACTCTGCTATTTACTTTTCCTGGGAGAAATTACTTTTATTCAGTCTTTATCCGTGTGGCCTTTGTTGGCTGTTTACTGGTTCTGTACGAGAATTAGTTTAAGGCCTTCACTTAAGATTTAAGTCATGGTGAGAGGTAGGCAGTCCTAGTCTGTTTGTTGGTCCTAGTCTGTTCCTTTGATCATATTTTAACGAATTTGAAATGTCCAGACATTCAACCATATCTTTGTTGATGTATTACAGCCTCCAAATGCCAGAGGTTCAAATCCATGTCACCCATATAAAATTCAATGCTCACAATATAAATCTTGATAGAAAAATAGAAAGAATTATCTACTGAAAATGGATCTTCACAAGGATCTTGATCACAGCAAATCTTGTACTCAGAAGAATGCTAAATCTTTTGGAAGAAATGCAGAGCATCAAGCTTAAAACTGGCTTTGCCATCAAATACATAATTTCAAGTTTCTCGAGTAATGATCTGAAACATTCTCTTCGTTTCACCATCTTGGTAAAATTTTGCAGCCAATTCTTTTTGGTAATTTTCATAGATCTTGTTTAGCGCAGTCAATCCATTTTCATAACTTTCACTATTGACTATACACATCGCATATTTAAGATTGGTTAAATATGAATGATATTGCTTCAGTCTTTCTTTCAGTTTTATTTTCTCAACCTGAAACTGTCAGCCAAGATAGTTTTTCCTTTTGTTACTTGCTTTTATTATCAGTAGTATTTTGCTTGGGTGATTGAGTCTTCTGCTCTAGATGACAACAAAGTCATGTGAAGATCAACGAAGCTCTCATCTTCCATTTTTTACATTTAATATCTGAAGTTTTTAACATTACTGCTTATTAATTCTATGTTTCTATGATGCGTCACTTTTGGGAGTCTGTGACTTTACTTTAGCACTCTATTTCACTGAATTGTTACTTTAATTTTGTTCACTTTTGCTAAAACTGAAATTATGCACATTGTGCATGAAGGGAAAATTTTGAATACTTGTTTTAAGTTCTGATGCTTCTTTTTATTCTATGATTAATTACTTATTTGACACCTCATGCTACTCTTTTCTTATTTGAAGTATGTATTTTTCTGTGACTACCTTGAAATGACCAAACTGAACCCAACTTCCTTATATGATTTCATATTTTAAGTTTTCACCATCCAGGATGTGATACTGAGTCCTACAATTACTCTTGGCTCTCTATTTCAAGAAAAAAACTACAATTCACCGACATCAAATTTTCTTTGGGACTTTCCTGCTCATAACATTCTGTATGTTCAAGCCTTTGTTGTTGGATTCATCTTTTTTTTTAACAATCTTTCTCCACTTGTAATATTTTATATATTTGACGAATGCTGTATCAGTAATATTCTGACCATATTTTAAATATCCTTTCAACATTTTCTGTTTTATGTGCCTGGGTTGATCAGGTTTGGCTTATCTGTTTGTTCATGGATTCACTTGGACTCGTATACATAGGGTCAGGTTCGGATGTTATTTGCTTTCTAGAGCCTATCCCTTTCTTTTATTGTTACATGTCATCCTGGACATCTTATCCCTCTTCCATGTACGAGATATAGCAGGAATTGTTCTCTGATATGTTGATGTTTGGGTCAAAAGTTGATGTTTTCATTGTCATCGAATCTATTACAACTTTGGTTATTACAATAAACTCAAATGAAAAGAAAAGTTGATCTTTTTATAAGATCTCCTTTATACAATGAAAATAAAGATTACAACTCTTGTCAAACAGCGCAACAGACGTTTATCACCCGCTGCTTGCGTGAGAACTTTGCCTGTGCCGGGGACGTTAATATCCATGGACCGTCACGGATCAGATCCGGTTGACAGATTGGTGATCAAAGCTCTTACTTCACGAAGGAAGTAATCGCTGTAGCGATGATCTCGACCAAGCGAAATCACGACTCTTCTCGAGATTTAAGACCAAGCTTAAATCCGGAGAAATAGGGGACGGGTCTCGAATCTCTCGAACTCCACTCTTTATGCGCAGGAGATCGCCAAGATCTGCTAACCCTTGCTGTAAATTCGTGGTTCCACTCTCCAATTTATGCGCAGGAGATCGCCAAGATCTGCTAACCCTTGCTGTAAATTCGTGGTTCCACTCTCCAATTCGGCAACGCTTCGCCCTCTTGATCTCCTCCTCCCAAAAATGAACACTCGAGCTCTTATTTATAGGCTTGGTTGATGGCTTTTTTTTAGATCAAAACGAGGGATCCCCTCTATCTTCAGTTAACAACTGCATATCCACTGTATCAGATCAGTTGGAACGCCCAAATCCCGAAAGAATCCACAAATAAACCGGACACGAAACTGCGATTCTGGCCAATTCACCGAAGTGGCTCGGCCTTGGCCGAGCCACCAAATGGTGGTTTGGCCCGTGGCCGAGCCACTGGTTTGACCGGATCATTTCGACGCATCTCGGTCGTCAGAGGCTTTCGTGGTTTTCTAGAGTTCGGCTCGTTCCGTCGTTTGTATGTATCTCATTGTTTTGCCGACCGGTACGCTTCCTCGATTCGCTTTGCGCGTTTCGTGAACGCGCGGATCGTTTTGACGGTGGCTGGGCTAATTTTTAGGTCACTTGGCTTGCCGTTCCGATGGCCAGCGAATGCGCGGGTTACTTGGAACTGGCTAATGAGTGCGCGGGCCAATTAGAAATGGCTGGTGAGCGCATAGGCTATTCGGTTCGCCGTTTTGCTTCATGTGTTCATCGGCATCGGGTAATCCTCTTAGACTTAGATAATGACGTTCATCACATTCTCTCTGTCTCGAGCTGTGTATGGATACCTATAGGCATTTTTAGACACCTACAGATACCCCCTCCAAAGTATTTCAGACTCATTCTTTTATAGAGGAGTTTGAGATGCTTTGGATATGATAGGCCCCCACATTCAGTCGGTGTCAAAGGACCTGTGAACTGCTTCAATTCCTGACTTTTTCAGCCTTCAGTCTATTCAGTATTTTGTCGAATAGATGAAGTTCTTCTGGCGCTGCGTTTATCGTCTGACCGTTGTCGAAATCTTGAATCGAAATTGGTGAGTTAATTTTGACTCGTGTCATTGAGTTGGCTTTGAACTGATTATCTTTGTCGCAACGCGTTGACCGGCGTTGACCTAGGGCTACACGTTGCTCGATGTTGGCCTTAGGGTTTTGTATCGATCGGCGTTAACTTTCATCGCAACGCGTTGACTGGCGTTAACACAGTTTATATTCGTACGTTTGCTGGAGTATACATAGTTTAAGCTCTTATGGCATTGGAGCGTGGCAGTCCCAAATATTGGGCTGCAGGACCAACTATTAAAGCTGATTCATCTGCACGTGTGGATCTTATCCCGAATTTGTTGGATGTCCAAGTCACAAGACCAACTAATGGGGCTGGTGCGTCAGTGACTTTCGTGTATATAGGATTTTTGGCAAACCCTCAGCCATCAACGGGTTTGATGAGCCTTTACCGACTACCGTTTGAGTCAGGCTAGCATGCGAATTGTTTAAGTCCGTTCCGCATGTGACGTTATGCTAAAAGAGTTAAACTCTTTTAGTGCTACGATATTGAATATGTAGACTTCGTCTTTCTCACATGAAAAGACTAAACGACGACGCGTATTAGGCGTAGACTTTAAGGTTTTTGGTAAACTCTCAGCCTTCAACGGGTTTGATGTGCCTTTACCGATTACCGTTTGAATCAGGCTTGCATGCGGATTGTTTAAATCCGTTCCGCATGTGACGTTGTGCTAAGAGAGTTAACTCTCTTAGTGCTACGATATTGAATACGTAAATTTCGTCTTTCTTACTGTAGGAAGGTTTGACCGAATGGGAGGTTTGAGATGATCTTGACTGTAGGAAGGTTTGATCGCTCGATTTGTGGGCTTCTCATTTATTGGAGGAATCGAGAGGGGATTTTGGTTGTGGCCCTAACTATATGAAGGTTTGACCAGGTAGACAGTAGGAGTGGGAGTACAAATCATAGTGGGAGTGTTGACTTGTACCGATTACTCAATAAGGATTCTTAGTGTCAAGTGATAAGAACTTAACACGAAGGGGTTTGACAATTCGTCAATGATTAAGACATTAGAATTCCGAGTATCATGTCCAGACTCTAACATTGAGGATGTTGAGTGCATAGATACGACGAAAGTTTGAGCGGATTTAATCGGAAGGAATTTTGATGGTCCCACTGTCAATTACTCTGATCGGTGGGGGATTTTGTGGTGGAAGACTGTGAGTCGTCAACAAAAAAATATTCGAAAATCACTGTGGGGGTTTAGTGTTTATCACTTTATTCGTAATGATCGGGTTATCCCTAAAAAAATTACGTGTAACATTCTTCCGGGAACTTCCCGTTACATGAATCATCCACCATCAGCTTCCTTTGCGAAACTGGGTCTAACATTATACTGAGTTACATGACCGGGTTAGCCTTAAGAATATTACATATAAAAATTCTTCAGGAACTTCCCGTGAAAGAAAGAAAACAGTTTAGACTCATATACCGGTTAGAGTTTCAGGGAGCAGTTTAACCTCGTATACCGGTTGGAGGATTGAGAAGCAGTTTATACTCGTATACTTTTCGGAGTGTGAGAAGGAGCAGTTTATACTCTTATACTTGTCGGAGTCTTCATTCGACTTAATTGAGCGATATAACGCCGGCTTCAACCAAGGTTTGGATGTTATTCTTGAGAGCAAAGCAATCCTTGGTGGGATGAAGGATCCTCCTGTGGTACGCATAGTACTTTGGATCCGCAGTATTGTCAGCTTCCTCCTGATTTGCGATAGGTGGTAGCTTGATCTTGTTGTTTTCAAGGAGGGATTCGAAGATGGCTGGAACGTCTTTGTCCTTGAAGGAATACTCTTTTTGGAGTCTCGGGTCCGAAGTCTTTTGCTGCCTTCGGGATTGCTGTTGTGACGTTTGATTAGCACCAACAGCAGCTGCAGGTGCCTTGTCCTTATCACGGGAGGCGAAGTTCGAGTTCGGAGGATTAGCCGTCGGTTGGCTCCTCTCGGCCTTCTTCCTTCGAAGGAAGCGTTCGGCTTGTTCACCGCGCACCTTCAAGTCTTTCCAAATGTTGGACGGTGCGACTCCTATAACTTTTAATATCTCAATAAATAGGTTGTTATGCATGTCTGAAGGATGAAGTCCTCCGTGATCGGATCTCGGCAGTTCATTGCTTTATTCCGGAAGCGCTTGACGAAGTCGTCGACCGTCTCATCGTCTTCTTGCTTCTCATCGAAGAGTGTCCTGATTGACACCTCAGCGTCATCATTAAAGAAATGAGCGAGGAATAGGCTCTCCAGGTCTTCCCAGTTATTAATACTTCCGGACTTAAGACGGCGGTACCAATCGAAGGCGGACCCGCGAAGGGTGCCAACGAATGACCGAACCATCAAGGCTTCATTGCCGGAGATCATACCCAAGTGGGACTTGAGGTAGATCAGATGTTGTGTGGGCGAACCCTTCCCGTCAAACGACGTGAAGTTAATCAGGTTGAATTTCGCCGGGTATGCTATTGAATCCCACTCTCTTAGGTAGGGACATGGAATGCCGGTCCTTTTTACCTCTCGATCAGACATTAGAGCGTTGATTTTGCTCTCGAGATCTTTTATTTTTTCGTCCTCGTCTGTATCATGCTTCGGACGATTTGTGAGAGGAACAACGGGGCCACCCCCAGTGTTGTCATCATTGACGGGACCACCCCGTTATTATTTTCAGCGGGACCACCCCCAGTGTTCTGGTCAACGGGAGTGTTCTCAGCATTGAGACGTTCATCCACATCTGAATCGCTGCCTGTTTGATCAGTACGGTTGCGACGACTGGATTCACCGAACTGATTGGACAGAGCCCGAATTTGTTGGTCATTCTCTTCCTTCATCCGTAGCATAGCCATTTCCATTTCAATCTTGAATGCCTCTTTCTGCTTAGTTAGAGCATCCTCAAGAATTTTGGCGATTTGCTCGGTGTTGATCATGAACACTTTGCGGGATTATCCCGGACTGGATACCGTATTATCAGAAGCGATTGCCGAGTTAGCATCCGATGCTTCATCATCCGAGGATAATCCCCTCTGCATTCTCTGATAATCTCTTTGTCTAATAGTTCCTGATCGCAACCGGGTTAGACGATGAGATATAAGCGGGTCAGAGCTAGAAGGTCGAATCGACTTTCCCATATCAGCTATATTTATTGTGACTTTCAGGAGTTCGTCACCTTAAACAGCCGATCGTTTTTTACGGAGACGTTTTGGTCTGGACTTGGCCATTCCGTTAGAGATCCTCTCAAATACCGAGACCCTCTGCGGAGCGGTCTTGGGGCAGCTACACGCTGATAATACTGCCCTGATAATATTTGTGCACGGACAATGAGAGTCCGTTTCTCAGGTACTTCTCTTTCGAGATCTGTTCGTACCCCCAGCCCGATAGTACAACTCATCGGTCTGAAGACCGGAGTGACCTATCGTGTGTTGGCATGACTCCTCAGGTATAACGCCGTCGTCTGACGAATATGTTTCCTTCTGAGAGCTTGCTGCCTTATCGGCGTTCTTAAGAGTCACGTGTTTGAAGCTACGCTTTTGGGAGCGCGAGCTTTTGACTGGCTCTTGGTCTTCAATTCGCCGTCCGAGGCGATCAATTGCAGGGGTTTTCCCATTATACAAAGGCCCTGACTTGTTGCGAGGGCGTGTGCGACCCTTAGCTCGAGTGGTTGCTCGGGGTTCAGTCACCGGACCCAAGCGTTCTTTGATCAGAACTTTGCCTCGATCCTCGTGCAAAGGACCCAGGCGATCCGTCATCCTTATCTTGAAACAAGACGAGTCTATGTGGTCGTGAGGCTTCACCGAAAGTGTGGAATCTATTGGGACAAGAATAGGGGCCGTCGGAAACTCAAAACAATCCGCGGGAGGTGAACCGAACGCTAGGCGAACCGAACCGGAGCGGTTCCTCGACCTTGGCCGAGCTACCATTTGGTGGCCCGGCCTTGGCCAAGCCAGCAAAGGCTGGCTCGCGAGTTTCGGGCGGTGTTTGATTTTTTTTCGACGCCGTTTCGGACTTTGGTTTCCATACTTGGCGTAGCTTTGGTGGCTTCTTAATCACCTCTTTTTGCTTTAACCTCTGCGCTTCTTGCACGAGAATCCGTGCGTGTGCAATCAAGGCGCGGCGTTTCTGAATGCGCTCCTCGAGGGTTGAGCGGGTCCGTTTGACTTGGATCCATTCATTCGCTGTTGGTTTGGAGGAGAGGACATCTGTTTGCCGCTGGGGAACTCGGTTCTTTCTGCGTTTCAGATCCGCCTCATAGCCAATCCCGTCAACAGGTTCCAAAGACTTGGCAAGTCGGCGCGCAAATCATTGGCGCTGCATTTGGCGTGCCCTCTTCGATAAGGTTGGCGTGCCTTCTGCGATTGACTCCTTGACAGAGGAAGGGTCCAGATCTGTATATCCGGGCTGGTTGGAGGCCGGAAGGACGTTGCAAGGTGTAGCTACCACAACAACGGAGGCTTTGATCTTCCTGTGCTTGCGAGGGGCCGAGGATCTGGAGGAGGAGGACGGCAGATACTCCTCGAACTTCAGTTGGTCGAATTCGTATTCGATCACTTCTTCAACCGGGATCCGGATCCGTGGTTTCGGCACAATAGCTTCGGCAACGAAGCTATTGGCTCCCACTATGGTCGCTAGCTTGTTTGGGTCAAAATGATGTTTTCATTGTCATCGAATCTATTACAACTTTGGTCATTACAATAAACTCAAATGAAAAGAAAAGTTGATTTTTTATAAGATCTCCTTTATAAAATAAAAATAAAAATTACAACTCTTGTCAAACAGCGCAACAGACGTTTATTACCCGCTGCTTGCGTGAGAACTTTACCTGTGCCGAGGACGTTAATATCCGTGGACCGCCTCGGATCAGATCCGGTTGACAAATTGGTGATCAAAGCTCTTACTTCACGAAGGAAGTAATCGCTGCAGCGATGATCTCGACCAAGCGAGATCACGGCTCTTCTCGAGATTTAAGACCAAGTTTAAATCCGGAGGAATAGGGGACGGGTCTCGAATCTCTCGAACTCCACTCTTTATGCGCAGGAGATCGCCAAGATCCGCTAACCCTTACTGTAAATTCATGGCTCCACTCTCCAATTCGGCAGCGCTTCGCCCTCTTGATCTCCTCCTCCCAAAAATGAACACTCGAGCTATTATTTATAGGCTTGGTTGATGGTTTTTTTTAGATCAAAACGAGGGATCCCCTCTATCTTCAGTTAACAACTGCATAACCACTGTATCAAATCAGTTGGAACGTCCAAATCCCGAAAGAATCCACAAAAGAACCGACAAAACCGATTCTAGCCAATTCACCGAAGTGGCTCCGCCCTGGGCTCGGCCTTGGCCGAGCCACCAAATGGTGGTTTGGCCCGTGGCCGAGCCACTAGTCTGACCGGATCATTCCGACGCGTCCCGGTCGCCAGAGGCTTTCGTGGTTTTCTAGAGTTCGGCTTGTTCCGTCGTTTGTATGTATCTCATTGTTTTGCCGATCGGTACGCTTTCTCGATTCGCTTTGCGCGTTTCGTGAACGCGCGGATCGTTTTGACGGTGGCTGGGCTAATTTTTAGGTCACTTGGCTTGCCGTTCCGATGGCCAGCGAATACGCGGGTTACTTGGAACTAGCTAATGAGTGCGCGGGCCAATTAGAAATGGCCGGTGAGCGCATAGGCTATTCGGTTCGCCGTTTTGCTTCATGTGTTCATCGGCATCGGGTAATCCTCTTAGACTTAGATAATGGCGTTCATCACCTTCTCTCTGTCTCGAGCTGTGTATGGATACCTATAGGTATTTTTAGACGCCTACAGTTGATCCACCCAGTTCTATCTTAAATCTTTACCGCCTTTTAAGCTGTGTCTTTTGGGGGGAACCATTATATAGAGGCACACAATTAAATTCCAATCATACTCCTTGATGTAGCTTTGCTTCATGATAGACCTTCAACATGGAAGCATCTTTATCTGCATGAAATAGTTTTATCTTTGAATATCTTCAACTTCTTGTGCCATTAACAGATGGCTTGTTGCTTATTAACTAGGTGTGATGGCTAAGCCTTTTGTCTTCTCCATTAACATGGCTCCTTTAACATATCTAATTTGGCAGGAACAAAAGAATAAATCAATTCCTGGGCGTCAATTTGTTTTTCATCATGCTCTTGTTAGCATGGTTCACTAGCTTGATTCATGCTTGTGTCACTGCCGGTACTTCTGGTTTTTATGCCTTATATTTTAATCGCATGCTTCCACCTTGGCAGAGCATTCTTCAAACTTTGAAGATGATTAAATCCCACTTTTATCTTCAGGACTATTCACTTGTTTTCTTCCTCAGCAGTAGCAAGTAGGGGTATAAATCATAATTACAACTTGTTCGGTTCTGTCTTCACACTATGACTGTTATATTGAATTTAACTGGATAGGATATACTAAATATACAAGAAAAAGAGGAAAATATAAAAATATAACCTTCCAATCATACAAAAGATTTTTCCTTTATAACCGCGTGTTTTTGTATATCCAAACATCCAAGTGTAACTTTTCGGTGTTAAATACAAAAGATTTTTCCTTCATAACCGTGTGTTTTGTTAGATCCAAACATCCAAGTGGCTTCACTTCCACAGAAACCTGGTACTTGATTTTCAGAAACATAACCGTCTAATGCATTTCACTAGAAAATTCACAAATTCACATTTCAAATAAACTGCAAAGTGCTAACACTGCACTGTCCTGCCTTTGAGATTTATTTTTGGAATTTCCTATCTAGGATTCTTCAGGTTACAGTTAAGCTGGATATAATTTTGTACATATATGTTTAGTAACTTGGCCTCAAGGGTATTTTGTAAAAGGTATACAAAGCATTGCAGCTTATTTTATCGAGTAGTGATAATTGGACTATATTTCCAAACTACTCCTACACTACTACACCGAAAGATTGTGGGGTCCTTGATGAGTCCTCAACTTTGATGGCAATCCAACTAGAATGACCCTGCACTTTTGTGTGTAGTAGTGCAAGAGTGGTTTGGAAAATGTAGTTTAGTTATAATTTTTGCATTAGCGGATTTCCTTTCCTATGTTTATTTCCCTATTATTTCACTCAAAGAAAAAAATCTGCTAATTTTAATCTTGTTTTGAGTTATTTATTTAAGAAGATAATCAGCTCCATGTTTCTTATTCTCTAGTCTCAACTTCATAGTAACAGTGCCCCTCTCTTCTGTCATGCAAACCTTTAGCTTACTCCACCTCTAAAGATTAGAGGTCATTCTATGCAAGAAATTATCCATCTTCATGTTACATACTCCGACTTTGGTCACTCACAAGATACTTTTTGTTCTACTTTTCAGAATAACGACATATGGGACCTATGCTGAAGAAACCTGCTGCATATCATAATAAGGCTAACAGAACTAGGTCCTTGGAGTTCCAAGATTTTTGAATAATTGATGGTCCTGATGCTTTGAGGGCATTGTTGTTAAGCTCACTGATAGTCTTCATCGCCGACTGCTCAAATTTTCATCACATGAAATCTATTAGTTTGTTTTTCTGTCAATATCCTTGACACATGCTCATGTGATGTTAGGTTATGCAGTTGCGATAAATCATGTGTAGACGTCATGTTTTCTGATAAAAGAATTTTCCTGTTAATTTCCTACCAAATTTTTAGATTATCTATCATTATATCCTATTTCACGTTATAAGGATTCAATTTAAGCTGGAGACCTCTTTTTTTTTCCACTGGGTAATCGATGCTGAATTATATACCTTATATAGCAAGGAAGCTAATAAATGTCAAAGGATGTCTTATGGATTTTTCTGTCTTCTGTTCTTGGACTGGAATTCTGCTTTCTTTTCCCTCGCTTGTTCTTCGTACTACAATTCGGCTAGAGATCCCAAGGTCGAAGTTTTTGAGGACGAGAGATAAATTTTGCACCAAAATATTTTCCATAGTGTCACGAATTTTTTGCGAGGAATCACTTTTGATGCATCTATCATGCGTGACAATCCTGACGTGAAAAATATCAAACAAACAATGTATTCAATAAAAATCCATGATTATAAACTTGTGGTCCCATTTTTTAATGCAAAACCCTATAAATAGCAAGGAAGGTCTGTTTGGATATATATATTTTAAAACCTCGTGATTGCTATAGTAACGCGAAAACAGATTGTCGAGCTAAGCTTGACGATTATACTAACACAGAGCTAAAACGGCTGGGGACGGAGAGAATTGCGTAAGGACTGCCGGCTGGATTTTTGGATGGCCGCATCTCCTTGCACAACCAAACAAAGCCTCGGTAAACCGCGCGTCCACCCAAAAAGGCCCAACCAAACAGACCCGAAATAAACAGCCCCTAAGTTCTCGAAGCCAAATAGCCTCTTTCACAGCCTCTGTTATCACGATATACTCTGCCTCCGTCATCGACAAAGCCACCATAGACTGTAAGGTGCATCTCCAACACACCGGCGTATGGGTCAAAGTGAACACATACCCCGTCGTAGACCGACGCTTATCTAAATCCCCGGCATAATCCGAATCAACATAGCCAATGCATAACTGCCAACCTCTAGTGTCCTACTTAAAAACTAAAGCAAAATTGAGGGTACCACGAATGTACCTCAAAATCCATCTCACGACGTCCCAATGATCCACTCCTGGATCGTGTATGTATCTCGAAACCATGCTCACCACCTGTGACAAATCCGGCCTCATACATACCATCACATACATCAAGTTTATTTATCGGGATTGTTTTGTTGTCGGTTTGAGAAAAATCAACCAAACATCCCTAATTAAACAAGAGCCGGCCGTGCGGCTGAAGTGAAAAGCGCTTCCCGAGCGTATCGTGTCCACAACCTATTAACATGTGGAGAGCACCGTCTGAGCTAAAGTTATTCTTTGAAAATGATTGGGTTTGAATATCCTCATAATTATACTGGACCGCACATATGTTTTAGACGCTGCATATACACGACAGAAAACTTGGAGAAGATAAGATTAATTCATGGCTGACGTGGAAGCGGGACCCTTAATTGAAATATCCAGCTATGCATGCGACGATTTGGCACAAATGTGGGAGGAGGAAAAGTGTACTTGTCATCAAAATTTTTGTTGGTCCTTATTGAACACAAGCTTGAGCTGTCTTCTCTCATCTCTCTCTCTCTCTCTCTCTCGTGTGTTTCTGCAGTCCAAGTCCCCACTTGATGATGACTTTTATTTGTTTTATATAGTTAAATACGTTAATAAAGTTTTTTGCTCGTTGAAGAATAGAGGCTTAGTATCTTCCGAGTCTGGGTCAACTGTGGAGCTCTCAAGTCTATATTTTCTCTACCGCTAGCAAAAATAGCGGTCAGTTTTACTTCTTAATCATAGCCATATGTTGTTTGAAGAATTGTGATCCTAATAAATAAGTGCAATACATGGACAGATTTTATTGAGTTTGTTATAGTTTCTTTTGAACGAGCTATAGCCGTGGACCTGGAATATAATGATACCCAGCTATACCTAAAATTCTAGAGTATGTACTCTTCTCTCTTTTTCTTTCTTTCTTTTTTTTTAAAAAAAAGGAGAACAATATGTTTAGGATTTAGTACATGCCTAGTAAGAAAACTAATTGATTTTGTCTTGATTTTTTTCATTTTTAATATATATACTTTGTGAATGATAGATCAGAAGAAGAAAATAAACTGGTACGGAGGTCGTCTCACTTGTATTTGATCAAAACAATTGTTAGATCATTTAAAAGCATTTAAAGAAAATACATTACAATTCAGCTAGAAAATATCACTCCATGGGATCATTCTTGAGCTTTTAAACAGAAATTTATATTAGGGGTTTTAGATATTAATTAACCCCTTAAATCATAGGTATTTTTTGGGGCAACCTAGCAGGTCACATGCCAACGCGTGTCGCTCCCCGATGGGCATGGGGGAAACATGGTTTGATTCCCATACGAGTCAAAAGCGCAATGTTGTGGTTGTTAATGTGTTGTTATATATGTACGCCAAAAGAGTATTTTCCTTTAAAAAAATCATGGGTATTTTGTATTTGTCTCTCAAGTCCTCATATTTTGATATTAGTCACTCAAATATCATTAGCGTGTTGATATTAGTCCATTTGTTAACTTCTCCTATGAAATTACTTAACCATAATTAGATTATTGGTAACCATAGATAAGTAATTACCAAATAACCATTGTTTTAATTCCCCTAAAATCCAGTTGCTTCCTCCTTCGGCTTTCTCTCCTCCTGTAAAGATAACCCCTTAGAAGAACTCTAGTTCTCTCTCTGCAGCTCTGGCTTCTCTATAATCATGCTTCTACTTCATTTTCAACCAAATATCTAAAAACCCCTTTATATTAATGTCAAAATTTTATAACATTACTATAGAACATTCTATTGGCTTATTAATATGAAATCGATCTGATTATATTCCCCTGAATGAATTAACTGGCATGCGGTCTGAGAAAAAATAGTATCGGCAAAGGAAAAAAGAAAAGAAGGAAAAAAAAGTAAGCAAAAACCATGACTAACATACATTCGTTCATTTAGCAAAAACCATGAGTTACGTACACTTGTCCATGGTTTTTATGTTATCCATTCTGGATTCAAGGATTAGGTTAGATGATTCCGGATGTCCTAAGATTAACTGGACCTAACAAGCGATCATCCTTAATTTTCGTACTACTAAACTTGATTTCTTTTGCTTTACATTACCTTTTTTAATTTAGGAGTTTTTAGATATTACTTCCTTAAATCATAATATTTGATATCCTGATATTCGTCCCCTGAATTATCTTAATATGTTGACATTAATCCTTCTGTTAGGTTTACCATTCAAAACCCTAAACCAGAGTTGAGTTAACATTAACCATGAGTAAAAAATTACCTTATTATCTCTCCCCCCCTCTCTCTCACACCTCCTCCTCTGTCACCTCCATCTTCTCCACCATCATCTCCTCCTCCGCCAATATTCTTCATCACCGCCTCCTCTATCTCCACCACCACCATTGGAATTACCTTATTATCCCCCCCTCTCCCTCTCCCTCTCATGCCTCCTCCTTCGTCATCTCCATCTTCTCCACCACCATCCCCTCCTCCATTTCCACCACCACCATCTCCACATGCGATATCTCCACTGCCGTCGGTAGTCTCACCTCCACCTCTATCCCCTTCAGCATCATCTCCTCCACCCCCATCACCTCCTCCGTCGTCGGTATTATCATCATCCTCCACTACACCACCGCCACCGTTACACACCTCCTCCGTCGTCGGTATTATCATCATCCTCCACTACACCACCGCCACCGTTACACGAAGAAAAGTGTGGAGAGGGGATGACAGTGATCGAGGGCATAGAGGAGAGAGAGAGAGAGAGAGAGAGGGAGGAGAATGGTATAATTATCCATTCAAAATAAGTTAAAGAAAATGGTATGTTGTCCATTCGTTTTAACACCAACTAATAAAAGGAACTAATATCAAACACATTAAGACAATGTTAGGAACTAATGTTAAAATTGTTAGGATATGTGAAGTCTAACTATCAGACCTGCCCTATACTTCAGAATGAAGAGGAACAAAGTGGAATAGGTGGAACATGATCGACGACGACGTAGTTCAAGCAAAACGATGAAGGGCGCATTTTGACTGAGTCGCGGTCGACCGCGCATGGCACGGCGGTCGACCGTCGACGTGACATTGCTGAGGAGCAGCTTCGCGGTCGACCGCGCATGGCGCGGCGGTCGACCGCCAAAAGTCCAGAGAGCAGCCAGAATTTTTGCCTTCGTCGCGGTCGACCGCAAAAAGTCCAGAGAGCTACCATCAGCAGAAAGCTTCGTCGCGGTCGACCGCGGGTGGCGCGGTGGTCGACCGCCAAAACTCCAGAGACTCTGATTAGGAGAAGGATTCGTCGCGGTCGACCACACGTGACGCGGCGGTCGACCGCGAGTCGGGTTTTGGCCCAGTTACAGTTTTTGACCTGTTTCCTTTTCTATTTGTAAAACCCTTAAGTCTATAAAAGGGTTGATTAGGGCATGATGTAAAAGAGATGAAAATAGTAAAATTTTCTTCTGCGGTGGTCGTGGACGTAGTTTCTCACATTGAGAAGCGAACCACGTAAATCTTGTGTGTTTGTGATTGATTGAATTCTCTCTTCTCTCCTAAATCTCTATTTCCAAATCGTATCAGGGGGGTTGTGCATCCCCAACAAGTGGTATCAGAGCGACCAGGTTCGGCGTGAGCGATTTGAGGTCAGAGACATGAGATCTGAGAAGGAAACATCCAAGATTGAGAAGTTTGATGGAACAAACTTCGGGTTCTGAAAGATGCAGATGGAAGACTATCTCTATCAGAAGGATTTATACCTACCATTGGGAGAGAAGCCGATGGATATTAAGGATGCAGATTGGAAGCTATTGGATCGAAAGACCCTTGGAGCGATCAGGTTGACCTTGTCTAAATCAGTAGCGTTCAACATCAAGAATCAGAATACGACGGCGGATCTCATGGCGGCGTTGTCCAGTATGTATGAGCAGCCCTCTACGGCGAATAAGGTACATCTCATTAAAAAGCTGTTTAATTTGAGGATGTCCGAGAGCCAGAAATTCAAGGAACACCTGAACAAGTTTAACGAGATCACGGATCAACTAAACTCGGTCAAGATTCAGTTTGACGATGAAATCCAAGCCCTCTTGATACTTGGTCAATTACCCGACAGTTGGAAGGGTACCGTTATCTTGATTAGCGGATCATGTGGCAAATCAAAACTAAAGTTTTCAGAGGTGGTGGACATGATTAAGACTGAGGAGATTAGAAGACAAGAGGAAGGAATTTCTAATTCAGGGTCGACGTTGAATCTTGAGAGCAGAGGAAGAAACAGAAATAGAGGGAATAGCCGAGGAAGACCTAACTCGAGGAACGGGAGGTCAAAGTCCAGAAATCGCAAGAGCAAAAATGAGATCGATTGCTGAAATTGTGGCAAGTTTGGCCACTATGAGAATCAGTGCCGAGAACCCAAGAAGGATAATGAGAACAAGACTGAAGCGAACGTGGCCTCAGGAGAATCAGATGATGCCCTAATCTGTTCGTTGGAGAGCAAGACTGAATCGTGGGTGCTGGATTCAGGAGCTTCGTTTCATGCTACCTCAAATAGAGATTTATTTGAGAACTACGTTTCAGGAAACCTAGGAAAAGTCTATCTTGGTGATGATCAGCCCTGTGATATTGTTGGCAAAGGAGTCGTGCAGATCAAGCTCAATGGGTCTATATGGAAGCTGAGTGATGTGAGACATGTTCCTAGCTTGAGGAAAAAATCTGATTTCCATAGGACAATTGGCGAAAGAGGGATATGTATCAACCTTCGCATGTGATACGTGGAAGGTTACAAATGGGTCCATGGTTGTTGCCTGTGGTACGAAGACATGGTCCCTCTACATGACGATAGATGCACGTGGTTCCATTACAGTGGCTGAAAGTAAGGAAGACCCAAATTTGTGGCACCAGAGGCTAGGTCACATGAGTAGCAAAGGCCTAAAGGTTATGCAGTCGAATGGGAAGTTATCAGGTTTGAGATCGACCGATATTGACTTATGTGAAAATTGCATTCTTAGGAAACAAAAGAGAATAAGCTTCAAAAGGGTTGGCAGAACTCCTAAAGAAGAGAAGCTAGAGTTAGTTCACACAGATGTGTAGGGTCCAGCATCAGTATCATCCACGGGCGGAAGGTTATATTTTGTGACCTTCATAGATGATCACTCGAGGAAGACTTGGGTCTATTTCATGAAACACAAATCAGAAGTGTTTGAAGTCTTCAAGAGATGGAAGGCTATGGTAGAGAACGAGACAAGTTTGAAGATCAAGAAGCTTCGTTCTGACAACGATGGCGAGTATGAAGACTCAGAGTTCAAGAGGTTCTGTTATGACAGTGGCATTAGATTAGAGAGAACAGTGCCAGGTACACCCCAGTAGAATGACATAGTAGAACGGATGAACAAAACGTTGACTGAGAGAGCCAGAAGTATGCGGTTACAAGCTAGAAGTATGCGGTTACACAGCTGCCTACTTGATCAACCGGGGACCATCAGTGCCTTTGGGGCACAAAATACCCGAAGAAGTATAGAGTGAAAAGCAGATAAATCTTTCTCACCTGAGAGTATTTGGATGTGTTTCATATGTTCATCTGAGTGATCATGCAAGAAACAAACTTGATCCTAAGTCTTTGAAATGTTTCTTTGTTGGCTATGGCGGTGATGAGTTTGGCTACAAATTCTGGAATGAGCAAAACAAGAAAATCATCAGAAGCAGGGATGTGGTCTTTAATGAAACAGTCCTCTACAAAGACCATGATGCCGTTCAGTCCACTAGTTTGGTGCAGAGTGATCCCACATACTTCGAGTCAGATGATGCCTCAGAGTGATGCCGTTCAGTCCACTAGTTTGGTGCAGAGTGATCCCACATACTTCGAGTCAGATGATGCCTCAGATGGAGGCAATCCCGAAGCTAGTTCACAGAGTGATCCCACATACTTCGAGTCAGATGATGCCTCAGATGGAGGCAATCCCGAAGCTAGTTCTGATAAAGAAGAAGAGTTGATGGATGAGACTACTTCAGAGGGGGCAGATGAAGATGGAGAGTCTGTTTCGCCCGTCAGAGAGTTGAGGCGGTCAGCTAGAGTCCCCAAGCCTAATCCAAACTATCCATCACTACAGCCCAAAGCCCATCTCAACTACCTATTATTGAGTGACGGTGGAGAGCCAGAAAGTTATGATGAAGCACTTCGAGTGGATGATGCGAGCAAGTGGGAGCTCGCCATGAAAGATAAAATAAAATCCTTGAACACTAACAAGACATGAGAACTTGCGAAGCTACCAACGGGGAAAAAGGCCTTGAGCAACAAATGAGTGTACAGAATCAAAGAGGAACGTGATGGTTCCAAGAGATACAAGGCCAGATTGGTGGTTAAAGGATTTCAGCAGAGAGAAGGAGTTGATTACACAGAGATCTTCTCTCCTGTAGTCAAACTGACTACCATCAGAACAGTCCTGAGCATTGTTGCAGCTGAAGATCTACATCTCGAGCAGCTAGATGTAAATACAGCTTTCCTCCACGGTGATCTAGAGGAAGAGATATATATGCAGCAGCCAGAGGGGTTTACTCAGAAGGGAAAAGAGGAGATGGTATGCATATTGAAGAAGAGCTTGTACGGTCTGAAACAAGCTCCAAGGCAATTGTACAAAAAGTTCGATGGATTCATGCACATGAACGGTTACTCCAGGTGCAATGCTGATCACTGTTGCTTTGTCAAGGAGTTTGACAACATTTACATCATCCTGCTTTTATATGTCAACGACATGCTAATAGCCGGTTCAGACATGAGAGAGATCAAGAAGCTGAAGAAGCAGCTGTCGAGTGAGTTCGACATGAGAGAGATCAAGAAGCTGAAGAAGCAGCTGTCGAGTGAGTTCGACATGAAGGATCTAGGCACAGCGAAGTAGATATTGGGGATGAAGATCAGTAGAGACAAGCTCTTGGGCACACTACGGCTATCTCAAGCCGAGTACATTAGACGGGTGCTTGAGAGATTCGGGATGAGTGGTACTAAGTCTGTTAGCACACAGCTAGCTAGTCATTTCAAGTTGACTAAGGAGCAGTGCCCCGAGACTGATGAAGAGAAAGACTACATGGCTAAGGTTCCATATGCTTCAGCCATTGGAAGCCTCATGTACGCCATGGTATGCACGAGACCTGACATTGCCTATGCAGTGGGAGCTGTGAGCAGATTTATGTCAGATCCAGGAGAGCAGCACTGGGAAGCAGTAAAATGGATTCTGAGATACCTGCGAGGTACAATAGAAGACTGTTTATGCTTCAGGAGAAGCAAGTTAGTTCTGTAGGGTTTTGTTGATTCAGACTATGCTGGTGAGATAGACCAGAGAAGGAGCACTACAGGATACGTATTCACTTTGGGCTCTACAGCTATTAGTTGGGTTTCTCAGTTGCAAAAGATCGTTGTTTTATCAACGACAGAGGCTGAATATGTTGCTGTGACAGAGGCAAGCAAGGAGATGATATGGTTGCAAGGTTTTTTGGAGGAGCTGGGACAGAAGAGTGAGAAGAGTGTCTTACATTGTGATAGCCAGAGTGCAATTCATTTGGCGAAGAATCCCGCTTTTCATGCAAAGACCAAACACATACAGGTCCGCTACCACTTCATAAGATCAGCGTTAAACGAGGACATGTTGGAACTTGTGAAGATTCAAGGAAGCAAGAACTCGGCCGATATGCTTACCAAGGTTATCACTACAGAGAAACTGAAGTTGTGTTCAACTTCAGTTGGCCTCATCACTTAATGATACGGAGGCCGTCGCCGCATAGAGAGCTGAAAGAGATTGATAGTTAGTCTCCAAGTGGGAGATTGTTAGGATATGTGAAGCCTAACTATCAGACCTGTCCTATACTTTAGAATGAAGAGGAACAAAGTGGAACAGGTGGAACAGGATCGACGACGACGAAGTTCAAGCAAAACGATGAAGGAAGCATTTTGACTAGTCGCGTCGACCGCGCATGCGCGTGCGGTATTTCTCGACGCCCGAGTGCACAGACAGCAACATATGCTGAGGATAGCTTCGCGTCGAGCCGCGCATGACGTGGCGGTCTCGACCGTTAAAAGTCCACAGAAAGCCACGAATTTTTGCCTCGTCCGCGTCGATCCACGTGGCGGCGCGGTCGGGGACATTCGCAAAAGTCCAGAGAGCTACCATCAGCGGTAGAAGCTTCGGTCAGCGGTCGACGCGGGTGGCGCTGCGTCGACCGTCAAAACTCCAGAGACTCTGATTAGCAAAACTCCAGAGACTCTGATTAGCCGCGCGTGGCGCGGCGGTCGACCGCGAGTCGGGTTTTGGCCCAGTTACACTTTTTGACCTGTTTCCTTTTCTATTTGTAAAACCCTTAAGTCTATAAAAGAGTTGATTAGGGCATGATGTAAAAGAGACGAAAATAATAAAATTTTCTTCTGCGGCGGCCGTGGACGTAGTTTCTCACATTGAGAAGCGAACCACGTAAATCTTGTTTGTTTGTGATTGATTGAATTCTCTCTTCTCTCCTAAATCTCTATTTCCAAATCGCATCAGGGGGTTGTGCATCCCCAACAAAAATATGAAGATTTGAGTGACTAATGTCAAAATATTTATAATTTAATTTACAAAATTAATAGCTGAAAAAACTCGTTTGCAATGTGCCTACTATAATAATACGGTGACTGATGATTAGTCCAGTCAATCCACGTATTTGGGTCAAATTCCTTTGTGGGTTTGTGATATTCTTGCTACTATGTAGGAATTATTCTATGTTTAATATTCTATCACCTATTGTTGACATTTTCCTTTTTTAAGATTTTCTTTTGGATGATATAAATCTTTCAAAGGAGTGAAAGGACCCATAATTTCAAATTAGTTTTTCAAAACCTAATTCGCAACATGCATATTCTCCCATTGTACGAAGAGGAATTTTCGCACTCTTAAAAAAAAAACCAAACTTTATATATTTTAGATACAAAATTAAGTTTGATAACGCTCTTGGATAACTTTGTTTTGATAATGCTCTTGAAACATGAATCCACGACTTTTCAAAAGCCACCTCTTAAATTTAGCTTTTTATCACTTGGGCGAGGTTTGGCCCATTTGGGTGCTCTCAACTTTTTTACATTTTCAAATATAACTCATGTAGTTTTGCTATTTCCCTATAATAATCAAGCTTTACTTTTCTAGCTAGAGAGATTCCAAAATATTTTGTGCTTTGGTTTCATCGTGAAGATTTTTTGCCTCATGTAGCGTAGAAAAAGATTTGTGTTCTACATCTTGATTTTGAAATTAATACTTGTACGAAATTTGGGTCGAAATAAGTCCCCAGAAAAATAATTTTGAAATTATATTGATAACTTTGTTGGTTGTGACATAGATAAAAAAGCTTATTGATGTACTTTATCAATTTGGATCTATTTTGAAACTTTTATTAGCGCATCCATTAAAGATACTAACTAATAGTTTAAATATCAGAAAATTCATTAGTTTTTAAGACAAAACAAATAATTAGTCCCATCAAGTGGCTGAGACTCCATTACAGACCGTGTAGTATTTATTTGAGTAATTAAAGTACTTTTTAATCATTTTTCACTTTCGAAAAATACCAATCCCTAGCTTCTGAAGGAGTGGAAAGACAATTTGGCCACAACAAGAACGCGACAACCAAAATGTCACTGTACCAAATTGATAAACAACTCTGTATTTGATTTCGACCCATCTCCTTCTCCATTAAACCAGCAAGAATTAAGCAGTTATAGTTTCTTATAAAAAAAAGGGAATTAGGCAGTTATGATAATGACACCCAAAACTATATTCTCATAAATGTGGATTTTTTTCCATATTAGACCCCAAGATCCTTAATATTTGAAGCCTGCCCCTCAACCAGTGAAGCTGCTATTAGCTCCCCCATCCTTATAAGTTGTCTCGATTTTGGTCCAACAAATCATTAAAATTGTTACTAGGTCCCTTTAATTCTTATAAATTGTCCCAATTTGATCCCTTCAATCAAGAGTAATAGACTAACAATTTTAATATGTACAGAATATGAGAATAGGATGACTTAATAGCAATTTCAATGATTTGAGGGACTGTTTCAAAATGTTAAAGAAGTAAGGAGCTAATATGAAAATTTTAGATGAATAGTTTTTATTTTTTGGTTGGGGGTGGGGGACCATAAAGATGCATCGCTTATGTTATCATTTAACTCCAAAAATTCACTAAAACACTTCATACGTGTAGTCGGAAGCAACTAAAGAGAAAGGAGACAAAAAGAGCTAAGAGCAAGGGCAGCCAGCTCTGAAGAGAGCTCTCAAGGCTGACGTGGTCGTGGAAAACGACAGCCCCCTCCAGCAACCTCCTAACCGCTCCCAAACCCCGCTCCTTAGGCTGACGTGACTCTTGAGAGCTTCCGAGCTCCCAAGCGCTCCACAAATTTGTGGAGCGCTTGGGAGCTCCCAACTGCCAAAAATATACAAAACCCCCCCTCAAAACTACCCCTTACCAGTTTGTGGAGCGCAGGGATGATTCTGGCGGCGAAGAGGCCTCCGACTGGGGTGCCGGCGACGATGGTGACGATGCCGACGCCGGAGATGATGGCGGCGTTCGGGTCGGGTCGGAGATGATGGCGGCGAAGTGGATTTGGGGTGGGGTTGCGAGACTGGGGTGCCGGTGACGATGGTGACGATGCCGACGCCGGAGATGATGGCGGCGTTCGGGTCGGGTCGGAGATGATGGCGGCGAAGTGGATTTGGGGTGGGGTTGCATCAGGTCGGAGATGATTTGGGGTTGGGTTCGGTCGAAGGAAAGGATTTCGGGGTGGAGTTGTCTGTCGAAGGGAGAGGATGAAGTTTTTTTTTTAATTGGGGATTTGGCGTTGTTGAGAGGAATTTAACCGTTGGGAAAATGTAAATTACATTAGACATCTACTTTATTAAAAATATAAATTACATTTGAAAATGTAAATTACATTTGAAAAATTTGGCATTGAATGGATAAAATATTAAAATAGAAGAGGGATTTTTTTGATATTGTTGGAGCTCCTAACTAGGAGCTTGTTGGAGCTCCATAAAAGAAGGAGGACCTCCCAAGACTTATTTTTTTAATTTTTTATTCTAAAATGCTTGAGAGCTCTTGAGAGCTTGCTGACTAGGACTCTCAACTGAGAGCTTGATGCACTTGCTCTAAGAGGCAAAAGGTCAAATAGACATAAAGAAATTACAAATTAATGAAAACAAAATATTCAAGATTAGATACCTTATAAATAGAATGTTTTATCTTCAATAAGAAATAAAGTGAATATAAATATATAGACGGACGGAGAGAGGAAAATAGCCAAAAGTAACGACGCGGCTACTTCTATTTTGTTTTGTTCTCTTTAATTTCGTAGAGAGGGGGGAGGGAGAGAGAGAACAAGAAGAAGAAGAAAAGGGGGGAAGACTGAGAGAGGACTTAATGATTTCGTTTGATTCCTGTTCCTTCTATGACATCTGCAGCTATGGTGCTGGAGTTGCTGGTAACTCCTCTCTCTCTCTCTCTCTCTCTCTCTCTCCAACTTCAACTTGTTATCTATCGCAATGACATCGCAAACCAAAACCCACTTAACAAAATCAAATTTTGATGGGAAATTCCATCTGGGTCTTCATCATGACATGAGGTTTTTCATACTTCTTCTAGTCCTGGAAATATAGAGTGGCCGAGAATTTGGAATTCTCTCATTTTTCTGGGAAAAGAACCAGCTTTTCTCTCTGAAATTGGTTACTTTCTTGAAATCCCTAGTGCCCTTTTGAAAATTTTGCATTTTGCTTCAGCTATCCATCTTCGGTCCTTTCTCATATACAATGAAATGCTAAAAAAACCTTTTTTGGGGGCTTTTATAAGTTAGAAATTAGTGTCCTAGTATTATTCAATATCTAGGCATAAATAGAGTTTTCACATGCTATATTTTTTCACTGAAATTACCTTGTCTCTGTCTTTTGCAGGGAATATTTTTGCTTTTGTGCTCTTTGTCTCACCAATGTAAGTTCGCCCACAATTTCTGAACTTGCTTTCACCTTATACTTGAAAATTACGTTCCAACAATATCCTCACAAGTTTATTATGTTTGATATCTTCAGACCCACGTTCAGAAGAATTGTTAGAAATCATTCCACTGAGCAGTTCTCGGGGTTGCCTTACGTATACGCCCTCTTGAACTGCTTGATCTGCTTCTGGTATGCTCTCCCTTGTGTATCTCATGGTGTTTTCTTGGTTGCGACAGTGAATTCAGTTGGAGCAGTTTTCCAACTAGTCTATGTCATGTTTTTCATTGTATTCGCCGATAACACCAAAAAGGTACTGGTCTCGCTAATATATAGTGATTAATGAAGGTTTTTTTAGCCCTTAACCTAGTATTCCTTTTGATTGCAGCTGAAGATGTCTGGATCCCTAGTAGCAGTTTTTGTTGCTTTCTTCCTTATTATGTATTCTAGTCTTTACGTGTTTGATAAAGAGACGAGGCATATGTTTGTCGGATATTTGACCATCGCTTCTCTTATTTCAATGTTTGCATCTCCATTATCCATCATTGTGAGTTGTTTCCTCGTTAATGTTGAATTTACTTAGCATGATAATTTATTGTTTTATTGACTTTCACTTGTATTTGTTAGAGATTGGTGATTCGGACAAAGAGCGTTGAGTTCATGCCTTTCTATCTATCATTAGCGACGTTCTTGATGAGCATCTCATTTTTTGCGTACGGGATGTTACTTGATGACTTCTTCATATATGTAAGAATGTTTTACAATGTTTGTAGGAAATTCTTCATTTGACAACAAAACTTCCTTCAAAATAACTTTTGCTTTTAATTTCATTTGTGTTGCAGATCCCTAATGGAATCGGATCAATCTTGGGTGTCATACAGTTATTGTTGTATGCCTATTACAGTAGGAAATCCAGAGACGATTCTAGATTACCATTGATTGTGTCATATCAATGATTCGGCGTATAATAAGTTTTCCTCGTGAATTTCATCATTCTCTAGTTATTCTTTCATATATTCTTTTTTTGCGTTGTCATTAAAATTTAGTTTGCAGAGAACAATTTCTTTCTGTGAAAGTTGTATAGAGTGCACGTCTTGTAATGCCTTTTTTGTTGATTAAGCATTTGAAGATGATCACTCAACGTGTCATGAGTTATCTACATCCCAATGAACTACTTCTTTATGGTGAGAAACTATTGTTCATGGAAATTGGAATGGAGAAAAGACCTTTGGCACATGTTCTCCTTGATTTCTTCAAATTTGGCAGTGTCTCTGACATTCGAATTTTCTGTTTCCATTTCTCGTGGTGCCTTAGTTATGCATGGTGAGTTAAAGCTCGGAGTTTGTAGCTAAAATCGAAAGCTTGCAGAAACAAGGTCCATATCCATACAAAGACTGATACAAAATCATATTATTAGTATTTAGTTGAAATTAACTACTTGTTTAATGTTGATTGATGTTTTATAAAGTTTCTAGTTCGTTTGGTAGTTGCTATTGTAATTTGTAAAGATGGATATGGCGTACATACGCAGTGCTAGGTACTGTTCATGTTTCTGCAAATGAGTCTGTTTTATGCCTTCCACTTTATAGTTTCTCATAATGTATGAGCCAACAAAATTTTTGGATGCTGACTTAATTTGACAAGCTGTTATATGCCTTCCCGTTCCATGCACTGTTGTTAGATTTCATTCTACCTTCGTACATTTTCGTCAAGTTTTTTTTTTAAATTTCTCCTTTGCCCTTCACCATCTGAGAAAAACTTATCGCATGGCTTTCATGTTTGGCTTTGTGTTGAAGTTTTCTTTTTCTCTTATCTCCATCCAGCTTTATTCTAAAGGATTCCAATTTTCTCTTCAGTGAACTATATTTTTCATTATTGGTAGGTGTCGGTATTGGGCCTACCATGCACGTTCGAGTATAATCCCACATAGGAAAGAAAAAAAAAAGAAAAAAAGAAAGAAGGAAGGGAGTAAATTAAAATGGGTATAAATAGAATCATTGGGTAGCTCAGATGATAGTTGCTGCTCTGGCTAAATTAATGCAGTAGAAGAGGCTTGCTAGAGCTGCCTCTCAGTTTCTGGTATTGATTGATGTTTAGAGGAATGTGCTATAATTTACATATCGGGAGCTGCATTTTCTGGGGCTTGAAGAATATTCAATTGCGTATGCCCGTGTTAAAAGCTGTTTACCATCCAGAGTTGCTGATCAGCAAGAAGAGTTGGAGCATCTCCAACAGCTTCCCTATTTCTCACTTTTGGAGAATTTAGTTAGGTTTTTGACCCAACAGATTCCTCATCTCATTCCCCAAAATAGGGATGAAGGAGAAAAAATGGGGAAACTTCCCCAAATCTGCAGCATTCTCCAAATTTTTGGAGGAAAAAATGGATTCTTCAAAATGGGGAAGCTGTTGGAGTTGGTGTAAAAATTAGTTGAAGAATATGACTTTTGCTTCCCCATTCTGGAGAAAATTTTGAAGAAGCTGTTGGAGATGCTTTAGGATCCAAGTCTCTTTCCTTCTTGCTGAACACTAAAAATGAGTTCAATTAGAATCTGATGGTTATTTGGGTGTTGACCTGAAACATACTAGGAGGAGGCCATAACAATTTCACACATTAAATCCCTCAGATATCTGCTGACACTACATATAAATATGACATCCTACTATTTAACCATACTAGAAAAAACAAATTGCTAGATCTTCCATATCTCTCTGTCTCTCTTAGGAAACCCATATCTTCTATAGCTTGACCTCTCTTTGTCTAACAAAGCTTTAAGTGCTGTTTTGGTAAAGGCCTAAAGGGTTAATTGAGAGCTTAATGAGAATTAATTCTTTATTAACTTTCCAAAAATAAAAAACAAAAGGAAAAATGAAAAAAATAAAAATAAAGAATGTTTGGCAATGGGTTAGGAGAGAAGTTAACAAGAGTTAATACTACCTAATGGTTTAAGGTCAGATTGGTAAGAGAAAACTTTATGCTAAATTGGCAAGAAAAAACGTTAAACTTTGTGTATATCTGGCCTTTGCAGTTTGTCATTTCATAACCTTATCTTGCTGTTGGCAACCGTTTGAGGGTTACCGTAAGTAAACCGTGCACGAGAAAAAGATACTGAAGCGATTAGGAAATTTCTGATTGTTTCATATATTGACACTTTCCATTTAATTCTTACTGATTTCCTGCTCATGTAGTCTATTATATGACACCCTTATGTATCTGGGATTCTGGGTGGCATTAAGTTTTTCTTAACAGTCTGTTTGGTAACCAGTGTTTCATTTAAAATACTGTATTTGGCCCAATTCTATTGTTTGGATCCAAAAGAATTTGGATACTAGATATTGACCCAAATCCATTAACAATTTAAACGTATTCTAAGCCCATAATTCTAAACCCCAATCTATAGTCTGTCATTTGTAATTCCCGTTTTTCTCTCTCCACTTTCGCTCTCACAAATTCCCTCCGATCTCGCGATTCCCCCCTCGCGCTCTATCTCCCTTCTCCACTTCTGCTCTCAACTGGCGGTGGCGACGACGACGACGAGATCTCTCCTCGCCGCCATCTCCAACGACGACGACCTCTCCCCCTTCATCCGTCGCGCCTTCGCTCAGTCCAAGCCCGAGGCTCTCCTCCACAACCTCCGTCTATTCGCCTGATCCAAGGAGTCCAAGATCAAGTACATCTGTAAATCTCACCATCAGTACTTCATTCGCGCCGTCGACGACCTCCACTCCCTTCTCTTCGATGCCGAAACCCTAAAAAGCTCGATCTCCGACTCCAACTCCACTTCAACAATGTCCAGCCAATCTTAGCCCTTCATCGGCTCCTCAAACCCTAGCCAAAGGTTTGTATTCTAGTTTTATGAATTGGATTTTCAATTTTACAAATTAAGTTGGAAATTAGCTTGTGGACTGAGGTTTTCTCGATTTTTTGTGATATTTTGTGATTTTTTTGGTGTTCGGTTATATATTTGTTATGTTTGTTGACTTAATTGCTTAAGAATTTGTAGATCTAGTAATAATCTTATTGATCGTTTATCTGTTCATGGAAATTACACTGGACATTTTATTTTATTTGCATACTGTCAGCAAGTTGCAGGAGGATATTCAAGCTAGAAGTATATTGTAGTGGTAAGTTTAGGAATTTGAAAAGAAAACTTGAGAAAAATTTGTGATGGAATTGCTTTGTTGTTTGCTAAACTGACAGAGACTGCACTATTAAACATGAGAAGTTTATGAACTTGGATTTGATAATACAAATCTAAGAAGGAAATGCACTATTAAACATGAGGAAAATTTTAGAACCCAAATTTTAGATCTTAATTCTATTATCATGTAAAGGGAATTTTCGGGTCTTGTTGTTGGAGAAGTTGGAGGCCGATGATTGTTCAAACTATGTCTAAATTTGTATATCAATGTTTGGTTGGACGTTATTCCTATGCCAAAATATTTTTACTAAAGCAAAATAGAGTAAAAATATTGGAGACTTTAGTAAAAATATTAGAGAGATTCAAATTCAAAAAGATAATGAAAATTATTTCATTAATTTAAACCGTAAGTGCATTAGAAAACACTACTCTCTTTTGACTCCACATTCAAGCAATCCAATATTACAGTAGTTTTTATGATTCTTGATGCGTTAATTATGACTGCTAGTGGCATCTTAGTCAGAAAACTGAGCAATAAGGTGCTTAAATTACATATGAGATTTTGTTTGTACTATTAATTCTTTGATTTACTAGGTTAGCATCTTATTAATTTATCTTCTGCAACCTCATTTATTTCATTGATCTAGTTAACATATTGTTTCTTACATTTCAATAATTTGAATCCTTACTGATTCTTTCATTCTTGTTTTCATTTATCTATTTTTTGACAGGATATAGTTTTCATTAATCTTGTCCCGTCTTTCTGCAGAATGTTAGATCTAATAAAGAACTTGAGATCTAAAACCATAAAGCCATGATTAATTCGAAGAGATTAACAAGAATCAATAGAGCGGAAGCTTATACCTGAATCCATAGATGAATCTTGAGATGAGTTTTGGATCTTCTAACCTTAGGGTTTTCTCTAGCCGAATTTCTCTCTAGATGGGGGTGAAGAGAATTAGAGAATGTAACCCTAGATTAGGGACCATAACCCCTTATTTATAGATGTTGTACATTTACAATTTGGCCCTTAACAAATCACAATTACAACCTGGTATCTGTACATATAATCTCATGACTTATTTAAATACCCAATTAACCCAAATTAATTGATCACTTTAGTGGGTTATCCTGAAAGATAGCACACATTGATTAATCATATGTGCCCACAATTAGATTTATTAGATTAAATCCAACAATCTCCCACTTGGGCACCATATGATTCCTTAAATTGTGTATAATCTTATGAGCTCAAAATTGCTATCACTAAAAAGGTATTTCCGAACAATCTCGTCCATTGACTATGTCAATATAGGATCAAAGCGGCCTTCGTCACATTTATCGTGACTCGGCCCATCAATGGTCACATATACCAATACAATCAAATGACATAGATCAATCATGGATGTGCAGCATGAAAATTACATGCAATGTGATCAGTACATGTCTATTTTCAACTGGTCCTCCTTTAGTGAGGTCAAAACCAAACATAATGTAGCAGAGTGTCTTAACTGAATACTTTATTCTGATCAGACAATACAACCAAACATAAAGCACCACAAATACAAACTCCCACTAAAACATAATATCCTCAAATAATACCACACCCATATGAGCAGTATGCTCATGAAAGACCTTAGGTGGCAATCCCTTAGTAAGAGGATCAGCTATCATGGAGTTTGTCCCAATGTGCTCTATGGATATCTGTCCACTCTGTACCCTTTCTTTCACAACCAGGAACTTAATGTCAATATGTTTTGACTTAGTTGAGCTCCTGTTGTTATTGGAATACATTACTGCAGATTTATTGTCACAATATAACCTTAGTGGTCTTTCAACATTTTCCAAAATGCGCAGTCCCGTGACAAAATTTCGCAGCCATATTCCCTGATTGGATGCCTCATAGCAAGCTACAAATTCTACTGCCATAGTGGAGGAAGCTACAAGTGTTTGTTTGACACTTTTTCATGATATAGCTCCTCCTGCTAACATATAAA